AAAAAAAAAAGTATTGCTTTCCTTTTTTAGTTTTATGATTCACAGTACCATCATTTTAATTATTAAGCTCTTTTTCTTTTTCCAGATCTTTTTATACCTTACATTGTCTATATCTTACCTACATTCAATAACTTAAAACATGTTCTACTCAGAAATGTCTTGCAGCAGTTACTAAACATTATATGTTGTTCTCTCAACAAAATCGCCACATTTCAAATTTCTAAGTGTTAATGAGATATTTTCTGAGAGCTAAGACTAGAACGTAGGTGTCTTTCTCTGCCTAGTTCTCTCAAACTAGTCTACTTTTTTGAGCATTTAATAGAACACTATACATTATTGTGTATCTTGACATACAGAATGATTTGGTGTGCTCAAAGTAAGACTGTAGTATCATTGTAATTGACATTCTTGTTTTTGGTGGGAAAGAATTCAAGACTGTTCTTAGTGTTTTAAGCTTGACAAGGGGACCAAGAGGCTCTCTAGGATAGGAGACCTAGAAAAGGAAGGTCACACCTGCAGTGGATTATACCAACCAGCTTCTTTTTATTAAATGTGTGTTACTTACCCAAAATGATAATTGCATTGTAATCCTAGAAAAATCTTTTTTAATGTTTGTGTCTTTTAATTGGCTAAATAACTTTTTTGCTTTTTGAATAAAAGAAAGAAAAAATAGAATGAAGGGATAACAAAGAGAAAATCTAAAAAAGAAGAAAAGAGAACATATCTGCATACATAATGTAACTGGTTATCTTATTTTCAGACTTCAAAATTACTTTTTAAAGAAAAGGTTGTTTTTCTAAGTAGAATTCTGAAGGCTTTGCTTATGTGGTAAAAGGTAAGTTAGGCTTTAAGTAAAAAGTTAAAAATAAGGCTTTCAGAACCACAAACAGTGGGTTGGGGCTGGCCCATTCCTTAATGCCTTTACTAGTGACTTTTATTTCATATTTCTTCCCTTGTTAAGAAAATCAAATCTAATTTTTTGGTTGATTTTGATTCTGGTTAGAAAGTGTTTCTTTAGGGGGAAAAAAAGAGTTGATTTTGATTGAGCTAATAACTTCACTCTAATTTTTTTCTTAAGAGGTATTATTCTTTAGTGTTTGCAGAATTATGGCTAGAAGCAATATCACTTTATACAGTTCTTCTTCAGCAGCATGTAATTTAAAAGCTGCAGTATGGATTTGACCTGGGAGGCTAAGTTCAGCACTCTTAGTTTTGACGTTTACTTGTTTGGAGGCAATGTCTAGACAAACTGGCTTCATAAGCCTTCTCTAACTCTGTAGCTGTGTGAGTCATAAAAATTGAAAGTCAGTTAAGTCTTTTATAGTATCATCCTTGAAAGTATCAATTGTAGATTTCATCATAAATTTAAAATTAATAATTTTGATCTGCTTTGTTATTTGAATAAAATCATATCTCCTTTGTATATTGACATTGTATGTAATATATGAATGTGTATATATGTGTGTGTTTATTTATAGTATAAAATTGAAATACTCTGATGTACAGACTGCCAATGATGTTGCTATTCCAGAGGATTTTTCAGACTTTTCTCTTGCAAAAACAATTAGCAGACTTGAAGGGCAACTGGAGGAAGAAGGTTTGCCTGATTATATAGATGATGATATTTTTTGTGGTGTTAGTAATGATATTGGAACAGGTAAGTTTTATTTTTGTCCTTATATCACATTTACTTAGAAAAATATTTGGGAACGATTTTTCTTGCATTTAAAATATGTGTTGTGATATCTTGCATTTGTTTCAAAATCATCTAGTGGGACATGATGGTAGGAGGAGTGAGTGGAATTATAGATGAAATAAAATTGGTTTTGAGTCAATAATTGTTGAAAATGGGTGATGGGAAAGTGGTTTTTCATTGACATCTCTATATATATGTTTGACATTTTCCATTATAAAAAGTAAAAATGAAAAACATTATATGGAGGATGCCTGGATGGCTCAGTCACTTAAGCGCCAACTCTTGATTTCAGCTCAGGTCATGATCTCAGGGTGGTGGGATTGAGCCCTGTGTCAGGCTCCCCACTCATGAGGGAGTCTGGTTGAGATTATCTCCCTCTCCCATAGCCCCTCCTCCCTCAATAAATAAATCTTTAAAAAAAAAGACTGTGTGGTATTGGTTTCATTGACCACATTTCAACCAAGCTTAAAATGCCCCATAGCTTATCATTAAAACATTAAAATAATTTAGGGGGGGGCAAAGGGAGAAGGAGAGAGAGAATCTTAAGCAGGCTTCATGCCCAGTGCAGAGCCCAATGCAGGGCTCCATCTCACAACCCTGAGATCATGGCCAGAACCAAAATCAAGAGTCGGACGCTAAACCAACTGAGCCACCCAGGTGCCCAAATTAAAATAATTTTTAAAACCCAATGTTTCTTTGAATTCCTTTCATCTGTTGATACTGTATTCTATTTACTGCATGTTAAAAGTATAAATGAATGTTTGATGTGGCATCAGTTAAAATGATCACATTAGTTTTCTAATGAATGTAATTTTCTTTCTTATAAACTTGTTCTCTGCATATCACTTTGAAAAATAATACTAAGTTTAGATCATCCAAAAACAGAATGTAGTTACCAGTAATGCCTTTAGAACTGTTGAATTTATGAGGAGCTACCTATGCGTTTATAAACAAAGAATAAGACAATTGAGTGTATTTGAACATGGTTAATACTGAACTATAGTTGTGACGTCAGGCAAGCCACTTAGCCTCTCTGTAATAGCAGTTTCTTCATTTCAAAATTTAGCAGTTTGTATGAGATGGTCATAAGATGTATCTTTAAAATTCTCTTGATTCTGTGAAAACCGTAATAATTTATATGTGTAATGATTATTGTGCTGCATGCTACTTAGTCATAAATGAGCAATTCATTTATGAATTTATTACATTTACTGACTTATCTAAACTTTCTGGGGGTACTTTTCAGAAGAGAAGGTAAGTGAAGCAGGAAGTTGCCTTTATGTCTCTGTCAAGATGCCTTCAAGGACACAGTGGTCATACATTGACTGTTCTTCACCCATGGCCCTGTTAGAATATTCCTGCTTTTAGATACATAGAACCAGTACAAACAGACTACCTTAAATTGCTAGTTTCTTTTTATTGCTGAATCACCTCTCTGCCACTTTGCCTCCCTCCCTTCCCTTTCCAGACTCTTTGGCCAAGGTATCTTCCCTTCTGGCAGAGTTTTCTCTTATTCCAGATGATTGCCTGAATGGCTGTACAGGCAAGAGGAAAAGATAAAAAAAAAAAGTAGCTTAGTAGCACATACTGCTCTGTAAGACTAAAGTCAGAGGGAGATGGGGATGGGAGGTTAATGCTATGGGCCTGCACAGGTGAAAGCATTCGGCTCCTTGGTTACACTGAGGTTAGTTGGGGGAGAGAAAGAGATGGACGAAGTCATGCTCTCCCATTCTTCCTCCTTTCTCCTTAGAGACCAACTACTGCAAAGTTCACATTTTTAAATATATCATTTCCCTTCTATACTGTGCTAACCTGGAGTGTCATGAGACGCTTGAAGGAGATTTGAGGCTAGACAGGTCTAGGTGGGTTAGAGCCAGTCATCGTTAATCAGCTCCATGGTAACACTGGGAACATTTAGTAAGAAGAGCTTTGGAGTGGAAAGTATATATGGAGATGTTTGTGCTCTTTTGGGATATATCCTAATGACTCCTCAGAGACAGTTCAGGGTGTTTATTCAAGATAAGATCCATGAAGGCAAAGCTTGTCTTATCCCTACTATGCCTGGAACATTATAGAGACTTAATGTATATTTTTTGGATAAATGATCAAATGAATTATGGAGTGAGTTCTAAGTTCACTTTTCACTTTATTTACTTACATAGTTCTAGAAACATCAAAGATTTGCCGCTGATATCATTGAATAAAGAATTTTAGGTAGCAATGAAATACCAAAGGCAGATCTTAGGGACTGTGGGAGAAAACTTCAGCAGTAAGGTATTAGTGTGTTTCTTTGCTTCTAAGGCACATAGACTACATTTTAACTTCCGTGAAATCGGGATATGTGTTACAATCACTAGTATTTTACAATCACAGTGGCTGAGATTGAAGTTGAGTTTTGCTAGAGAGGTTTTATGTTTGTTTCTGCCAAACACCTGGGGACGTTACCAACCTGAAACCACTTTAAATTCTGACTGAGGTATTTTGGATCACATTGGTAAAGACAAATTCAGTCTGCAGACTTAACGTGAGTACTGGCTTGTGGTTTAGATTCTCAGGAGAGGTTTTTGTTGTTTTTCCCTTCTTTACTCAGTTCCAGGTTGAGATGTGAAGAGTTCCTTTCTGTTGGGTGGATTTGTTTTTCATTTATCTTTATAGTATGGGTATTTAGTGTCTTTAGTGTTCTCAGACTGGGATCTCCTGTTAAATTCCCCATCTTGAACATTTTTTCCTCATAAAATAATGGTCTGTCTTGCAATTGGTGGCATCTTAGATTCAGTGAAAGACAATAAATGTAATTATTTAAATCCACAGAAGCCCAGAACAGATTTTTAAAGGCCAAACTCCGTGTTATGCAGGAGGAATTGGATAATGTTGTATATGAATGCAATAAAAAGGTAAAAACCTATCAAAATAAATCCTCTAATATTCAAAGATATTTTAGGAGCAGTTTCAGTTATTTTTTAAAATATATTCATTGAGATGTAATTTACAGTTAAATTTTGAATTATATGTAAATACTAAATTTTATTCTATTTTGAGATGTTGAATTTTCACAGCTAAAGAATATTAAATACTTGTTAGCAGTTAGAATTTTCTGTATAAGATTTACAAATGTAAGCTCTTAAATAAAAATAAAACATCTGAGTTCCATTTTTTTTTTTTAAAGATTTTATTTATTTATTTGACAGAGAGACAAAGTGAAAGAGGGAACACAAGCAGAGGGAGTGGGAGAGGGAGAAGCAGGCTTCCTGTGGAGCAGGGAGCCCGATGCGGGGCTCGATCCCAGGACACTGGGATCATGACCTGAGCCAAAGGCAGACGCTTAACGACTGAGCCACTCAGGCGCCCCCTGACTTCCATTTTTGAAGATAAAAATGGAATGCAGTTTGTTTTTCTTTGTGAAGTGAATATAAGTATCTCAAATCATATGAAGCTCCTTTTTGTTTTCTGCTTTATGTTGTGATACCAAACCTTGTGCATTTTTTCACATAATCTATAATTTCCTAACTATAGGAAAATGAAATTCAGGATTTAAAGTCTCAGATAAAAAACTTTGAAGAAGATTGTGTGAGACAGCAGCGAACAATTAATTTGCAACAGTCTCAAACAGAAAAATATAAAACTCTTTTTGAAGAGCTAAATAAAAAATGTGATGGATTACAGCAACAGCTGTCTTCAGTAGAAAAGGTAATTTTGCTATTTTTCTGGACCTAATGTTAAAGGTACTATAAAACATTAAAGTTACATATTTGTGTGGGCACCACTTTTGCTTGTTCAGTTATTTTGTTAGTATTTACTAAAAAGTCTTCCACCATATAAGAATATTTTTTAATAGCTTTATTGAAATACAATTCACATATAATACAAATCACCCTTTTAAAGTATACAGTTCAGTGGCTTATTAATATATTCGGGGGTTGTGTAGCTGTCACCATGATCAATGTTAGAACATTTTCTTCACCCCAAAGAAAGACACTCCATACCCTTTAGCCACTGTACCCCAACCCTCTTCCCCCAGTCCCCTCTAGCTCTAGGCAACTTCTAATCTATTTTCTGTTGATAGATTTGCCTATTTTGGACATTTGGACGTTCTATATATAGAATCATAAAATATGAGGTATTTTGTGACTGACATCTTTTAAGAATGTTTTTGAGGTTCATCCACGTTGTAGTACATATCAGTACTTAATTCCTTTTTATAAAGTAATATTCTGTTATATGGATAAAACACATCTGTTTATCAGTTGATGGACATTTGTGTTATTTCCACTTTTGGGCTATTTTGAATAATGCTGCTGTGAACATTAACATACAAGTTTTGGTGTAGACATATGTTTTCATTTGTCTTGGGTATATACCTAAGAGTAGAATCATTGGATCATATGGGAACCCTGTGTTTAACCTTTTGAAAAACTGTCAACTATTTTCCAAGCTAGCCGTACCATTTGTACATTTCCACCAGTAGTGTGTAAGGGTTCCATTTTCTACACATCCTCACCAACACATGTTAGATTATCTTTTTGATTATAGCCATTCTAATCATGTGAAGTGGTTATCGTGTCATTTTGATTTGCATTTCTCTGGTAACTAAAGATGTTGAGCATCTTTTCACATGTTTATTGGCCATTTTTATATCTTCTTTGGAGAAACGTTTGATCAGATCCTCTGCCCATTGTTTAAATTGGAATTTTTAAATTATTGAGTAGTAAATGTTTTTTATATATTTTAGAGTCAAGTCCCTTATCAGATACATGATTTCTAAATACCTCTCCTATTCTTTGGGTTGTCTCTTCATTTTCTTTACAGTGTCCTTTGAAGCACAAAATTTTTTGATTTTGAAGCCCAGCATATCTAATTTTCCTTTGGTTGTTTGTGCTTTTGGTGTCAAATGTAATGGGATAATACATTTTAAATAAGCTATCCCATTAAACAAATTTATATTAATGTACCATTGAGATAATAAAAATAAAACATACTGTATGGTATTACTTTGTAAGACTTATAAAAATTATGTAATATAAGAGATTTAGGGAGTAAGAAATTATGCCTTCATTTCTATATTTTTCTTTAGTGTGTTCATGTAAAAGCATATTTTTGACCATTTTGGTCTTGTATAATTTTTTTTTTTTTTTTTTATTTGAGAGAGAGAGAGTGAGAGAGAGAGCGCAAGAGGGGTAGGGTTAGAGGGAGAAGCAGACTCCCCGCCGAGCAGGGAGCCCAATGTGGGACTCGATCCCGGGACTCCGGGATCATGACCTGAGCCGAAGGCAGTCGCTTAACCAACTGAGCCACCCAGGCGCCCCATTGGTCTTGTATAATTAGCATTATCTTCTGATAATAAATTTCTTAACATTGGCTTTATTGAGATAAAATTTGTATGCAGTACATCACCCTTTTTAATTATACAGTTCTGTGAGTTTTGACAAATACATAGTCATATAACTAGTGCCATAATTGAGATACAGAACAGTTCCACCATCCCTAAAAATTCCCTTGTGAATTTAGTCAAGTCATCCTCCTACTTCCAGTCTAAGGCAACCACTGATCTGGTTTCGGTTCTTATATTTGGCCTCTTCCAGCATATCAGGTAATTAGAATCACATAGAGTTACTTAGTAGGCTTTTGAGTCTGTTTTTTTCATTTGCATAAGGCAATTGAGGTTAGTCCATGTTGTAGTCTGTTCCTTTTCACTACTGAGTAGTGTAACATTGAATGGATATACCACATTTTGATTACCTATATATCTGGAAATCAAAATTAATTATGATATCTAATAGTGTAAGCCAGTACTATCCAATATGGTAGCTCACTATATGTGGCTAGTCCAAATTGTGACATGCTGTAAGTTTAAAATAAATACCAGATTTCGAAGCCTTAATAAATAATAAAAAAGTAATATTTTTATATTGATTACATATTAAAATATTTTGGGTATATTGGGGTAAGTGAACTATAGCATTATAATTAATTTCACTTGTTTCTTTTTAAAGTAGCTGCTTTAAAATTACATATGTGGTTCACATTATGTGGTTCATATGTTGGTCTAAAAAATATAGACAAGTGTTCTTTTTTTTTTAATTAAATTTTATTATGTTATGTTAGTTACCATACTATGATTAGTTTTTGATGTAGTGTTCCATGATTCATTGTTTTCGAATAACACCCAGTGCTCCATGAAGTATGTGCCCTCCTTAATACCCATCACCAGGCTAGCCCATCCCCCCACCCCCCTCCCCTCTAAAACCCTCTGTTTCCGGGAGTCCATAGTCTCTCATGGCTCTTTCTCCCTCCAGCTCCCACCCCCCCTTCATTTTTCCCTTTCTTCTCCTAATGTCCTCCATGCTATTCCTTATGTTCCACAAATAAGTGAAACCATATGATAATTGACTTTCTCTGCTTGACTTATTTCACTTAGCATAATCTCCTCCAGTCCCATTCATGTTGATGTAAAAGTTGGGTATTCATCCTTTCTGATGGCTGAGTCATATTCCATTGTATATATGGACCACATCTTCTTTATCCATTTGTCTGTTGAAGGGCATCTTGGTTCTTTCCACAGTTTGGCTATTGTGGACATTGCTGCTATGAACATTGGGGTGCATGTGGCCCTTCTTTTCACTACATCTGTTAGACAAGTGTTCTAAGAAAAAACCTGTTGTATCTGGGAAACCAGTATTTTTATTTGTCATGATACTTTATCATTTGTCATATGCTACCAAGTTTCTGGTCATATCATCATTATCATTTCACATAATCTTGAAACCTTACCTACATCTTTGATTCTCTTCTTGTTCCTGGCCTTTATACTGTACCATCCTATGCGTTCTTCAGATGTTTTGCATTCATTTTTTCTTTTCAATTTCCATTGCCTCTTCTTGGTTCAAGCTATTATTATTTCTGAATCCTCCTCACTGGTTATTTTATGTCCTTTCTCTTTTTCTTATCCATTGTATCTTGTACTCTACCAATAGATTAATGTTCTCAAAAGACTACATTGATTATAACTCTACCTTTGTATGGGCAGAAATGGAACTAACATTTTTTTTGAGTACTATGTGTCAGGCAAAACCTTTTACAGAAAGAGAAACTGAGTCTGAGAGGTTAAACAAAGTGCCCAGGGTCATACAGGTAGTGGCAGTGCAGGATTCAAACCATGTTTGTCTGACTCCAAAGTCTGTGTTCTTCCTACAGATCATGTAGACTCTCCAACCCCTCAAAATTAAATGGTCTTAAACACACAGCTATTCCAAAATCTCATTGCTGTTTAGAGTTAAATATTTGAAACCTTTGAGTCATGATGCGTGTTCTGAGCTGTTATGATACATAGACTATCTGAAGATTTTTATGACTTTCATTAGCTCAGAACTTCCCATCTTGAGTCCTTATCTACCTACCAGGAAGAGAGGTGTAACAACTCTCATGGGTTATGTGGAACTCAAGATTGAATCTTTTTTTTTGCTAATTCTGCTCACTATCTATCTCTAAAAACAAACCTCAATGTACAGTTGATAGAAATGCAAAACAGAGCTTGAGTTTGATGGAATTGCTTCTATAAACCTATAAAAGCCAGCTATTTAAAAAATTACTATGCATATTAACTTACACTAACAGGTAGAGCCATTTCTAAAACATTAAAGCAGAAAACATTTTATTTCAGCATTGAATTTTGTTTTTCAATTAATGATCTGTTTTAAAATCAACTTTATTGAGAAATAAATACAATTAAATATACTTGTTTTAATTGTAGAATTCACTGTGCTTTGACAAAATAGTATATCCTTATAACCACCACTGCAATCAAGATAAAATTTCTATCATCTCCCCAAAATTTCCTTTGTCTCCCTTCCCTTAAAACTGCAATCTCCAACCATGGCCCAACCACTGATCTGCATTCTTTCATTACAGACTAGTTTTCCCTGTTCTAGAATTTCATATAGATGGACTTCTAAGTATGTACTTTTTATGGCTGGCTTCTTTTGGTCAGCATAATGGTTTTGAGATTCGTTAATGTTGTGTATTTTGTGGTTCATTCCCTTATATTGCTGAGTAGCATTTGTTTATGGATGTACTGCATTTTGTTTATTCATCAGTCGGTAGGCATTTGAGTTATTTCCAACTTTGGACTATTAGAAATAAAGCCACTATGAATTTTCATATACAAATTTTTATATAGACACATGTTTTTATACAGGCACATCCAACATCACTCATGATGCTGGATAAATACCTAAGAGTAGAATTTCTGGGTGTTACAGAAACTGATGTTTAACTTAATAAGAAACTGCCAAACTGTTCCAGAGTAATTGTACCATCCTTCATTCCCACCAGCAATATATGAAAGTTCTAGTTAGTCTGTATCTTTATCAGCACTTGGTATTGTCAGTCTTTTGAATTTTAACCCTTTTAGAGGGGCAGAAGATTAGCATCTCATTATGGCTTAATTTGTATTTCCTTTATAACTATTGATCTTGAGCATCTTTTCATATGTGTATTGGCCACTCATATATCTTCTTTTGTCTGTTCAAACCTTTTGCCCATTTAAAAACGTATTGAGTTGAGGTAGGAGTTCTTATATAATTCTTTTGCTAGAATATATAGTGAATAGTTTCTTCCAATCTTACTTGGCTTTTTTATTTTCTTAACAGTGTTTTTCAAAAGAGTTTTAAATTTTGATGAATTCCAATATT